GGACTGAGCAGGACCCCTGGCCTCAGCCTGAAGGGTACCTTGTCATCGGGGAAGCAAAGGTTTTAATACAGGGGAGCTAGTTTGCAATTCGCAACTCCTCTCAAGCCCAGGTGTACTACGTAATTTTTTCCTCCAGATGTTTCTTTGCTAATGTGAGAATTCTAGCCAGAAATGCCAGGAAAGGGGAGGTGGCCACCTCCTGCCCTGTGGCCAAGAAGCATTTGGAACTTGTCTTCTCTCACACCTGTGCTTCCTCTGACAAGGACTCAAGCTTGAGGAATTAAGTTTTTGTGAAAATTGAACAAGAATCTTTCTAAGAAAGAGAAATGGAGTAAAGAAAAAACAGAGTGGATGTAGAACAACAAATGGAGACACAGAAAGAAGGGACAGAGCCATGCTTGTGCCCCTGGTTTATTCCATGTGGACCTTTCTCTCAGCGTCCCTCTTGCACTCCTCCTATTTGGTTTGTGATCAACAACCCACATATGCACAACTTCATCAAAACGGAAAATATCTACCGTGATCATCTCTACCTGCATGAGTGATATCAATGCATAACCAGGGCTATGTTAAAGATGGGTCTTGCCCCTTTGCATTGTTTTAGATTTTATGAACTTCTTTACAATGTCTATTGACATAATAGAGATCTCTCATTTATTTAAATAGGGTCCCTTGAGGAAGAGCATATTTTAGAGTTCTCTACATTGGAGTCAGAAAATTTGAAGCCCCCAAACAAATCCTATTGTTTACCATAATGGCCCCAGCATAGAGCGTGTGCTTAAACGAAGCACAGTTGAATAAATGAATGAATGAAAGAAATGCCCAGATTAAAATGAAGTTGTCCGGGACGCCTACAGATACTTGCAGAAATCTGGTTCCAGGAAATTGTTGCACCCACCTAGTTTTTACCAATCCACCAAAAAAAAAGTGCTAAAGGAAACAACCTAACTTTAAGTTAGTAGAAAAGGCTAGCAAAAAGCCCTACCCTGAGAGAGCTTAAACATTGAGACAGTTATAAATACAAAAACAAAACAAAACAAAACAAAAATAACCTTTGCAGAGTCAGGCCATCTTGATGTGGAGCTTGCTTTCCCTCCCAAAAGCAGCATTTAAAGCACTCAGGGTTCCAATCACAGGCGGTTTAAAAATGCCTGTCCACAGACTCAAGGCGCCCCCTTGGCCTCTGCTGACACCCAGAAAAGCATTCCCCCAGAGGGCATCAGAGGAGAAATGCCATTGATGTTGGTGCTATTGTTATCTTCTGGTGAGGGCTGTATTGTTGGCAGGGCCCAGAAGGGAAGTAGGCAAAGGCCCATGGGAGAATAGCGAGGAGAACAGTTTCCACAGAAGCAAGGAGATGAAAAGGTGCTGTAAACCAGTGGCTCTCCTGCCCGTGTGTGTGTGTGTGTGTGTGTGTGTGTGTGTGTGTGTGTAAGAGGGGAGGCAAGGAGACAGACAAGCCAGCCCCTTCTGGGAGACACTCTTTGAAATTCCGTTCCCAGCTCTTAGGGTTCCACGGTCACCTACTCAGAGGGCATTACCCACTACTTTGCTCTTTAAAAAAAAATGAATCCTGAATTAGAGGGTGATTTTAAAGTCAGTGGTATAAAAAAATCAAAGAATGAGACAATATAGATCTTTTAGAAACTCCCTGTAGGTAGTTTGTTTTGATAGTATTCACTGAGGAATATGCACTTTTTTTTAGTTGGATGAATGTAGTTAAATTCATTCTGTGAGATGTAACAGCTAATTAAAAAAATAATAGATTAGTAATGAAGTAAATACATTAAAAATAATTTTTACTTAGAATAACTCATCTATTTACCAATTTTAAAAAGGACATTCTTTTAATTTTTTGGCATTTAAAGGAATGCATTTTCCTATGACAAGAGAGTATTATCAAACTTCACCAATAATTAAAAAAAATACCACTTTTGCCAAGGTGACATTCAAAGTCATTCCCCCAGCCCCCAAAGGAAACTGGCGAACAACCCATTGGCATAGGAGCCCACGCTCCCTCACCGCTGGTCTCCCCACAGCTCACAAAGGCCCTTCATTACCTGCACGGTTAGACACATAGGAAATGTGCCCTCGTGTACCCGGGGTGTTTTATCCACATGTTTTCTCTTCCAGCATTTGATCACTGGCTGGTGAACTGTTTGGGCCCACAGAGATCTCCAAACCACCAGCTCATGTATTTAAAAGGCATCTGTTTATTTTGAAAATGCAAATATGGCCTACCTCAAAGACTGACAGGCAAGAAGTGACCCACTGAGCTCGGGGAGAGGCTTCCAGTCTGAAGCCCAGTCCCTCCCTCCATCACACCAAGATCACTCTCCTCCTCGGAGCCACTTAACCTAAGCCTGGGAATCTGAGGGAAGGGCCCACAATTAAACCGAGCAGGCTCATCTCTCAAGAATCAGCCAGGCGGATCCTTTTACCCCCAATTTAAAGCCCTGAAGAAGCCACTTACAAAAGGACCCTGAGCCTTTGAAACAGAGGTTCCTCCTCTGAGGGCTGCCTGGAGGAGGGCCCCATGGTGGGGACACCAGCTCCGACCAGTGGCTGCCCAGTCCTCCCAGGGAGAAAGCCCGGGAAGGTTAATACCGACTTTGATCTCTGTCAAGGCATACCAGAAAGAATTAATTTACATTTCAGATGAAAAAGGTTGACAGCATGAAAAGGCAGCTTGTTGCTGGTATGTGAATGTGCAGTAATAGATCGGGAATTCTGAGAGGAAGTTCTGAGGAAGCTGAAGGGATCAGCCACGCGGCTGCTTTATTGGGAAGGAGATGAAAGGAAAACAAATTTCAATATGCGCTGCTCTGCAGCAACATGTAGGCCAAATGCTTCCTAAATTTCAAGGGCTGCTCTTTTAAAAAAAATATAACGTATCTTAGTGACAACATTTTAAAAAAATGACTACATGATCCAGAACTAGAAATACCAACAAATGCATTTCACAGAATTTAAATTCTAAATAAAATGATTTATTGAAAAAATAATCAATTAGAGATTAATCTTAGAAAATAATGAGAGGTGGCTATGCTAAGGTATTCCTGAGCCTTTCCCTGTAGGTTTCAAAATTGAGGCAACTGCTATGTCGGGGGTCTTGTTCCACTTGGAAATGTCCTAGTGGCAACAGGAGGGGCTTGTAATGAGAAGATCATGCTTTGGGAAATCTGGACCCCAAACAAAGTCCAAATGTGTTGCTTTGCTTTTCAGGTAAATATAACAATGCCTTCAAATCTAAGCTTATTGAGGAAAACATTCTTAAGTCAAATATTCTGCCTATGAAATCGCAAATGCTGCCATCCTATTTCTGGAATGCAAAACCAGCACACCAGTCCTGTTGTGGAATTGGCTGAAGGGCAGAGACATTGTTTGCTTTCTCTTTGGCTGCCACCAGGGAAGTGGTGGCATTGGTGCCACCTTCATGCCTGCCTAAGACCCTGCAGAGTTGGTTACTGTGTGTCCCCACATCACTGGATAGTTGGGATCACTGGCTCTGAGGCTAAGGAAGAGGGGTGTTTGCAAAGCTTTGGGGAATAAAAAAAAATGGAGGAGGCACTTTAAAGAAATGCGTCCTGTCCAGTTCCACAAGGCACCCAGCCTGCCGGTGCTACACTGAGCATGATGATGCAGCAGAGCTGTCTCTGCTTTGATGCAGCATTCATTTGGCATTACACAGTGCAAAACAGGGAGCCTCTCAAGATGATATTCAGAGAAGGAAAACTGGATTTATGATCTTTACATACTCTGTGTTAACCAATGTACAAGCTCCAAGTTTATATTTTTAAATGTGTCGAGATTTGGGCCAAAGCATAAGATCTGAAATTAGCCTGGTATCCTCTTTTGATGGAAGATTTTGTATGTGTGTGTGTGTGTGTGTGTGTGTGTGTTGTGTATTGGGGAAGCAGAGAAAAGATGCAAGGTGAATTGTTCTCTTCCTGAGACTTTGAGGTTCTTGAGCTTAGAATTGTACTGGATGATGTTAAAAAGTTACACATTTGCATTTAAATAGCTTCCAAAATATTTTCATTCTGAATGAAGATTTCAGGCCTCCACTGGGGTCTAAGACAGTTCGCAGAAGTATCCTGGGAGCTGAGTTCTGTGTAGGGACCTGTTTGAAAGGTTGCAGCTGTCTTACTCAAGAATTTGCTTCCAGCTTGGCATTTTTCTGAAACCCTATCTTGCTCCCCATTGCTGAGCTCACTGGCCTTGACTCTCTCACTCCATCTCCAATTTCTTGTGCTCCTGAAGCTCCTGGCACACATAGGAGCTTGTTTCTTCCAGATCCTCAATTAGGAATATACAGCTTCAAATGAGGAAGGGAGATTGGCCCAGCAGCCACAGTGGACATGCCATTTGCAGAAGAGCAGAGTGACCTGAGAGCCAGGGAGGGGACAGATGAGCCAGTAACCAGAGCACGTGGTTCTCAGGCTGCCAAGGGCCAGCTGAGCCATAAGAGCCACCATGTGCTCACCCCTGGGGCCCAGAGGACCACACGAGCTATATACAGGTCTGGATTGGGGAAACTCTGGTGGCTGGGAAAGTTGGCTGAGTGAAATTCCTTCTCTGCAATGCTGAGAGACAGACAGGTCTTGCAAATAATCAGAGACCTTCTAAACCAGTGTTGTGGTTGCACAGATGAGGGACTTGTGACTCCAAGAGGGAAAGAGATTTGTCCAGCTGGCAGTATGTCTGGGTTCAAATGCCACCTATAAGCTATGAGATGGTGGACAAGTAACTTCACCTCTCTGTGCCTCAGTTTCTTTCCCTAGAAAATCAGGACTATCAGAGCCTCCTTAGTCAAGCCTGGCACCTACAAATGCTCACTGTGACCCATGAGGGTGGGGGTGTCGGAACAAACGTGAGGACCCCCCCACTGGAACCGTTGGTTTACCCCAGGGCTCCTATTATTAGCTTTCCAGCCTTTCTACACATATTTGCATGTGAATATTTTCAGGTGGACACTGTTAAAATGATGTTTGAATTACCTGCTTGAATATGAGCAGCAGACTCACTCCTTCTGTTGCTTATTTTCTTAAATTTGCTCCGAGCTTCATATCCTCTCCAGGCTAAAAATATAAAACCATGTGCTAGGAATGACATTAATTTAAGAACGTGCCAGAGAATTGATATAAGCTGTTTCCCCCTCCAATCTATTATGCCTCTCCTCCTCCCTCTTGCTTTCTCACTGAACAAAATGAGTAGACCTACGTGAGCTCTGGTGGGGAAGTGGGGCCTCTGTGTACTGGCAGCTTGGCTTCCAAGATGCTTCTGAGGAGGCATTTATTTTTGGTTTGTTTAAGCAGTGAGTTTCCACAGCACGCTGAATTCTACTTAGGAATCACTTGGGTCAGCTACGCCAGGTGAGGTGGTTCCCTGGCATTCCAATCCATGGGGAAAACCTGTCTTTGGGACTTGGGGTCATGGGGAGGATGGCGGGAAACCGGGGCTGGAGGGGTGGTGGAAGAACTGAAATAGACTGGTCCTTTTAATATTTTGTATTTAGGAGAAAGATATAAACATGAAAGAGAGAGAGAGAGAGAGAGAGAGAGAGAAAAGAGGGGAGTCCAGGGAAATAAGGATCACTCTGCAAGAAGGGTGCTCAGGGAGGGGAAGTGGCCATGGAAGGGGAAAGGCAAGGAAGACAGCTGAAGAGGACAGGACAGAGGAAGGGGCTGGGTGAGTCCTTCAGATGCAGACGGAAGCAGGAAGCCACCCAGCAACAGCAGCAGCAGTAGCTCTTCTTTGCTACCCCACCTCGGCCTGAGCATCACAACTTCTTCCGTACATGGTGGTCCTGGGTTCTGAGAGCGTGAAGGAGGTCATCCACCATGGTCAAGATCTGGTGCTTTCAAAAGCAGACATGAAGACCAATGGAACAGAATAAAAGACCCAGAGACAAACCCACTTACATACAGTGATCTCATACTAGACAAAGGCGCCAAAAACATATAATGGAGAAAAGATAGCTTCTTCAACAAATGGTGCTGGGAAAACTGGAAATCCATAGGTAATAGAATGAAGATGAACCCCTATCTCTCACCCTGCACAAAAACTCAACTCAAAGTGGATCAAGGACCTAGGCATTAGACCAGAGACCCTGCTTCTACTGGAAGAAAAAGTAGGCCCAACTCTCCACCATGTTGGCTTAGGAACCAATTTCCTCAACAAGACTCCTAAAACGTAAGAAGTAAAATCAAGAATCAATAAATGGGATGGTATCACACTAAAAAGTTTTTTTCACAGGAAAGGAAACAATCAACAATGTGAAGAGAGAGCCTACAGAACAGGAAAAAATCTTTACTGCCTTTACCTCAGATAGAGCATTACCCTCCAGGATATACAAAGAACTCAAAAACTTAATACCAAAACAAAACAAAACAACAACAACAAAACAACAATCAATAAATAGGCAAAGAAACTGAACAGGCACTTCACAGAAGAAATACAAATGGTCCAAAAAATATGAAAAAATGTTCAACATCTCTAGCAATTGGAGAAATGCAAATTAAAACAACAGTGAAATTTCATCTCACTCTAGTCAGAATGGCAATTATCAAGAATACAAGTAACAATAAATGTTAGCAAGGATTTGGGGGGAAAAGCCACACTCATACATTGCTGGTGGGACTGCAAATTGGTGCAACCGCTATGGAAGGCAGCGAATTCCTTAGAAAACTTGGAATGGAACCACCATTTGACCCAGCTATCCCACTCCTTGGTCTATACCCAAAGGACTTAAAATCAGCATCCTACAGTGACACAGCCACATCAATGTTTATAGCAGCTCAATTCACAAAAGCCAAGCTAGGGAACCAACCTAGGTGCCCTAAAACAGATGAATGGATAAAGAAGATGTGGTATATATCCATAATGGAATATTACTCAGCCATAGAGAAGAATGAAATTATGGCATTTGCTGGTAAATGGATGAATCTGGAGAATATCATGCTAAGTGAAATAAGCCAGTCCCCAAAATCCAAAGGCCGAATATTCTCTCTGTGGATGCTAATCTGTAACAAGGGAAGGTCAGGAGGGGAAGAATAGAGTTCATTGGATTATACAAAGGGGAATGAAGGAGAGGGAGGGGGAATGGGAATAGGAAAGACAATAGAATGAATTGGACGTAATTTCCTATCTTTATATATGACTACATAACCAGTGTAACTCCACAACATATACAACCATAAGAATGGGATCCTAATTAGAATAAATCATACTCTATGTATGTATAATATGTCAAAATACATTCTACTGTTATGTATATCTAAAAAGAACAATTTTTTTTAAAGGAAAAAGAAAAAGATCTGGTGTTTTTACAACCACTTGTCCATAGCACAGAAGCTCAGCTGCTGTTGATAGTACAGTGACTCCTACACGTGTACGGAGGCACTCACAGGGCCGGGCAGAGGGAAAGGAGCCTGATGGTCGGTTTCCTTAGTCTACACATTCCAGGTGGGCTAGCAAAGCCAGCCAGCCTCTGATGGGGTGATGTGAATGCATGGTCCTGAGTGTATGTCGCAGTAGTAATTCTGAGAGACGGGGCACGTGTGGGTGTGGTTGGGATGTGACACCATTGGGCCCCTCATACTGCCTCTGTCTTGTCACAATGACTGTGTGCTCATCTGCAAACTCAGGAACTGTGGCATTTTTCTCAAGGCTACATCCCTATCACCTGGTACAGGTGGTAAGCCCCAGTACTAATAGAAGGTGAGTACTCAGAAGACTGTATGAAAACAGGTCATTTACCTGACTGGATGGTGATGGCACCCTTCTCTCTCTTCTCTCTGACTCTTTTGTATCTCCTGGCTCCAAGCCACCCCTTGGTATACGCCTGTAGGATAACCACTCTGCCTATGACTTCTCGCAGTAGCAGATTTAATTGCTCGACGTGGTAGTATTTGAGAAAAACCTGAAAGGATATATTAATTTTAGCATTATATATGGGCTTTCCAACAGAAATCCACTGTACCCTAATATATTCTTAAGGTAAATGCTAAAGTTATTATTTAATTAACATTTACAGTGATTTGACAAATGCTCATGTCACTGACTTCTTGGGGACAAATACAAGTCTCCTTCTCAAGCTGAGCCAAGCCTTGGTTCTTGATGTAAACAGATGATGATGTTATGGGGTATCATGGGTCCCAGGTGCTCACCAGGCTGCCCTGTGTCAGTCAGAAGTTCCACTTTCTCAGCCTGAGCTCTCTCTCCTTGTTCCCCACAGCCTCTAATGGAGGTACCACCAACAGGACAGACCATTGGCCCATGGAGGAAGTCAGAGGGAGAAGAACCTGCATGACCCACGCTGATCTAATTTCTGCTGAGGAGCACGGTGCTGCTATGAGCTCTTGGGCTAAAGCTGGCTTTGTGGGGAAATTCAGGATGGGCCATAAAATCCTGGGATCCTGCAAGGGCGTGATGTTCTCCCAAATGAAAACCTATACACGATGAAACTAATAAACAAGGTAGGCAATAAATAGCACAACATGAGTCTAATGAAAAAATGCACAGAACTCCAAAGGAAACTCATCACTGCCATTAATATGATTTGTATATTTGCACGTGTGCTAGAATACAAAGTCTTGAAAAGGGGACATTTGAAAGGGAGCTCAAAGATGTCAGTCTAGAAATGCTAAGTGACTCTCAAATTACATGCAGAACAGAGGAGGCAACTTCCCTCCTCTGGCCTCTAGGGTGCCTGGGCTCAAGAGCAGCAAAGATCCTTTTTAGGTTAGGCTTTTGCCTGCTAAGCTACACCCCTTACACAGCTATTCTTGCCAGAGATACCAGCAACAAGAAATACAGGCACACCGGAAAGCAGCACACAGGGATGATGTGAACAATAAAGAAAGAACTACCTTTGTTTTCCCCAGTACCCAGTGATCCAATTTGGACTTTTCCAAGATAGCAGCACAGCTCTCTTTACTAGCAGGAGGCGTTTGATGTGCTCTGAATGCCAAGTAATAATACCTACCGAATAAAAGAGGAAAATGAAGCATTTTTAGTCATTATTTGATTTAGTAGAGTTGCTCTGGACTCACTGGCCAGCCATGTTTTTTTAATAGTAACTATTTCTTGAGCACAAGAATAGCAAAGTCGATAGTGAAAGATGCACTATTTATATTTGCTAACTTGGCTCTTTCACATTTTCTGTGTTGTAGATTTTCCTTTTAATTTTGCTTTGTTAATTCACATTCAATGAATACTTGGTGTGTTTTGCATGCAAAATCAAGATTCTTAATCATTTAAGAAAGCTGACATTTAGATCTCCTAGTGAAATTCAGAATTTTAAATGTTGGCATTCCTATTATAAAAACAATTTAAATCCCATTGTACATATTTTGATTCTGCTTTGAAAAGTCCCCTCTAAAGTGATCTGTGGAGAGCAAATGATCATAGCCTGACACAACCAATTCTGGGCAGAGCTGCATGTCTTAATCGAGGACTAAAGTAGGCATGTTTTCTTGATGTGATCACCAAACCACATTTGTTTTCTTAAATGACATCATTTTAGTGAACTTCTAAACTTTCAGATGAAAGGGTTTCTGGGTAGATTCAAAGAACACCACCAAAGAGGAGGAAAAAGATCTTTTCCTAGCCCATCCTAAGTTCACGGCTGAGGGCCTTATAACAGAAGACAGATTAACAAGAGAAAAGAATTCAAATTTTATTTAAAGTAAGTTTTATGTGACAAAGAAGCTTTCATTCATAAGGATACAAAGACCGCTAGAAACAGTTATTCTGGTGTATTTTTATGCAGGTTTGATGAAGAAGTGGATATTATGATTGGACCAAAGGGTATGAACAAATGGTAGTGACCTGGGGAGGCGGGGTGTGGGTGTGGTGGGGGGAGGTGCGGGGGGCATTTGCCAAGGCCTGTGGATTTCTTCAGATTCTTCTGTATGTTCCAGTGTTCTTAGAGATGAGGGCCTTCCTTTTCTCTGGGCATAGGGAAGATCTCTCTCACATAAGAGTCTATGATTTGTTTCAGGGAAAGTCAGAAAATTCCCCCTAGGTTTTGTGACCTGCCTCAGGACACAAGGTCAGAGTGACCTTCCTGCCTCTGAGGTTTTCTCAGATGACAAGGTACCAAGCTTTGGGGTGGCATGTCCTGAATGCCATCACTACCAAAAGACTTTTTCTCCTCTCTCCTCCCTCTTCCTCTTTCATCTCCTCCTCCTCCTCCTCTTCTTTTTGTTTTGGGGGTGGGGGTGGTGATTAAGGGGCATGGTGGTGCTGACGATTGAACCCAGGCCTTTGCAAATGCTAAGCACATATTCTACTACGGAGCTACATCCCTAGCCCCTCCTTTCTTCTTCAGTCTCCCTGTTTTTAAAAATAAATAACTTGCTGTATATACTATCCCTTTAGAAAATCTTACCTTAGTTTTTCTTCAGAAAACTTTCAAGGATCTTTTTTCTGCTCTTTGCTGCCATCTATTATTAAATTCAACCTCCTGAAAGCTTAAACTTTATTCCTTTGTCAAAGGATTTTTTTTCCTTCTTCATCTGACAAGGTTAATCTGCTAATTTGAAATCACTTTTAAATATATAACTTTTTATTTTCGTAAAAAATCATCAACATAGGAAACATGTCCCTTCTTCTTGTCAAAAGGACTCATATCTTTTGGTTTATGGAAAAATCAATATACCTGACCAGTACTTGAGTCAATTTTATTTTCGTGCTACAAACTGTTTTATAAGTTAGGCTACAGGGCTGGATTTGCTGGATACTTCTGCATTCAGAAATCCTGGGACCGTTTCCACGGCTCTGAGTCTGGGTTCCCACCCTTTGAGAGGGAGGATAGTGTCCTTAGACCCAGGATAGTGGCTGGGGCAGTTGATGGTGGTGGATCCTTTGGTCCAGGATCTTCTAACAGCTGATGTCCTCCAGAGCTCAGTGGGAGGAGCCCAGCCTGGGCCTATGTGGGCAGCTCACGACATTGGCACAGATTCCTCAGCCTGACTCTCTCCAGGACTGTAGTTTCATCATGGTTTCTCTGGCTTGTCTTTGGTCATAGCAAAAAGACTGTCCTGGTGTTCATGAGGCTGATGGGATGGATGGAAGGTTTGTATGAGGTCGTGGTAAAGCTGATGTACAGAGCGCTTAAGCTGTAACAGGCGGTGGTAAAACCAGGATTTCCTGCACTTTCCTCCCTGGCCACTTGTCACATGGGCTCCCTCAGCTTCTTCTAGCAGCCCAGTTTTGGGCACTGTGAGTACTCAGCACTATTGGTGATGAGGTATTTAAAGAGAATCTAATGAGCTGGGCATGGTGGCACATGCCTGTAATCCCAGTGACTCGGGAGGCTGACAGGAGGATTACCAGTTCAAAGCCAGCCTCAGTAATGGCAGGGCCCTAAGCAACTCAGTGAGACCCTGTCTCTAAATAAAATACAAAATAGGGCTGGGGATGTGGCTCAGTGGTCGAGTGCCCCTGAGTTCAATGCTCGGTACAAGATAAAAAATAAAATAAAGAGAAACTAACGAATAACTAGCACTGTGAAACATGCAAGAGGAATGCAAGTTACATTCCTATTTTCCAACCAAGGATTTATACTTAGTTTTCAGGCATCTATGAATGTTACTTAGCAACTGCTAATTTTTAAACAGGGATAATATGTCCTGAAGTAACATAAATATTAGGATTTAACTTTGATTTTTCAGTTTTTGAAGCCAAATCTATTAATTTATTATGCTGATAATATTTACATCTGACTTAGTTTAGAAAGAAATGAGTAATGACAATACAATGAGGTGAAGTTTCAAAAACCAATGTAGATACAATTGATTTACGTACAGTAATCAAGTTATAGAAGCATATCTTCCATGGAGTGAGTTCAGATTCCAGCATGGTGAAGCAGCACTTTGAGCTCCTGAGGGCTTCAATGTCAAGGCTACACAAAAGGAACCAATCTATGAGGCCTGCCAGGAAGAGGGTCTTTTGGGGGAGATCCATCCCACCTTTTTTCTGAAGCAGTTGATCAAGTGAACAAACAGGAGGTAGGCAGTAGCGAAAATACTAAGTGTACATGTCTATTTTGAGGGTCTTGACACATGACAGCATTGATAAAAACCAGTTCTTCCCTAAGATGCCTCTTGTAGGTAGAATTGATCTCACAGGCTGGAGTCTGAGCACTGAGTTAAGAGTCAGACAACTTCTATGGGCAAGTCACTCACTTGTGTTCCTGAACCAAATTAGTGGTTCTTAATTCTTTTTTTTTAAGGTGGTAGATGAGGGGTTCAAGACTATGAATATCTGGGACAAGATACAGATATCTATCTTAGAAAATGCTCTTAACATAACACATTGTATATAATGTCAAGAGCTTCCCATCCATTTTGATGGCCCTCTAAGGACCTAAGAGTTCTTCCTGCTCCAGAACCCTATGGAAGGTGATAAATTTCATAACATCTCATTTTATTAAAACATATAAGCCATCAAAAGAGTAATTATTCAGCTGAAAAAATATTGCTATTCAAAATGTTGTTTAGTTTTCGAAAATGTTTTGTTATATGAAACGCAAGCTGTTCGAGGATATGTTTTAAAATATAATAGGCAAAGCAACATGTAAAATATGAGTAATGTATCCTCCTGTGTTAAAATTATGGAAACAAACTGGAAGGATTGGTAAGGTTCAAGGATATGTTAGTTTTCTATTACTACATAACAAATTACCTCAAACTTAATGCTTCAAAAAAAACATATGTTGTTTTAAAAATTGATCTCACAATTTCTGAGAGTCAACAACTCAGCAGTAGCTTATCCGGTAATTTTGGCTCAGGGTCTCTGATGAGATTTTAGTCAAGATGTTGCATAGGGCTGCAGTCATCTAAAGGCTTGATTGGCACTTGAGCATTCATTTCCAGGATGACTCACTTCTGTGCTTGTTGTTGGGAGAACTCAGTTCCTCACTGGCTGTTGGTAGGAGGCCTCAGTTCCTGGCCACATGGGCCTCTCCAGAAGGCTGCCTGAGTACCTTCACCACATAGAATATGGCTTTCCTCAGATCAGGGGATCCATGGGAGAGACAGGGAGCCCAAAGAGGAATTTGGAATGCCTTTTATAACCTAGGCTTAGAAATAACATACCCCTGGTTCTTCCATATGCTTCTATTCACCACAAGTGAGTCACTAAGTCCAACTCATACTCAATGAGAATTTAAATTCTACCATTTAAAGGGAAGAGAATCAAATAATTTGTGGATATATTTTTAAACTACCACAAAGGATCTCTAGAATGTCAAGTCTTCTTTCTATTGATGATAAAAATCACCTTCAGTTAAATGAAGTAACTTATCCAAAGTGACAGAAAATAAATGACAAAGGCTAAATTATTATTGAAGTTGCCTGACTTCTAAGTTATTAAGTTTTTAAAAGAACTGACATGAATCTGGATACTGAAGTTTGATTCTTGATGCAAAGGAAAGATACAAACAAATAAACAAAAAGGTAAAATTAAATGCTGCTTCTCACCAGAAAAGACTGATAAATTTGTCCACATGAAAAAAAAATTGAAAATTTGGAAAGAATAGGTATTTTTTAAAGTTTCATTGTTTATCTATTACACTTTATTATGCAGTCCATAAAAAGGCCCCAACAAAATGCAATTGTATGGAATGTAGACATCTCTTACCAAATCAATGGTGGTAAATTTCTTGGCCAAACTTCAAAGCCTATTTAATCAATTTGACTATTTCCTTTGAGGAGAAAGAAACTTTTATTTCTCATTTTCCCTACTTGTGTTAGTTAGTACAAATGGAGAAAGTCCTTGGTCAACAGAGAAAAGAAACAGAGACTGTGTTAAATGCACTGAAGTTGTCCTCTGAGTCCTGGTCCGTCTCGGGCAAGAGGAAGACTTCTTGGTCTTCATCATGGTTCCACTCATAAGAATGTGAGGAACATAAAAACCTGTAATGTCCAAACACTGACCTTCCAGAATGGAGACAGAACAAAGAATATCAGGTTCCC